AAGAAGTAGAGGATACAATTAATCTAGGGGATTCACGATAACTAGGTAAAAAATTTTCCCTAAAAATCAACCGAAAGAACTAACCCTAGAAATCAACCGTTTTCTCTTCAATTTCCTCAAGAGCTAGTGAATTTGGTAACAGTCTTGGTGCCTTCGGAGACGGCGTGCTTGGCCAATTCACCGGGAAGTACAAGTCTCACAGTAGTCTGAATCTCCCTCGACGTAATCATCGGCTTCTTATTGTACCTGGCGAGCCTGGAAGCCTCCTGAGCCAATTTCTCGAAAATATTGTTGATGAAGCTGTTCATGATACCCATGGCATTGCTGGAGATCCCGATGTGGGGATGGACTTGTTTTAGCACCTTGAAGATGTAGATCTTGTAGGTCTTGCTGCTCTCTTGACTCTTTTCTTCTTTTTGTCGCCGGCAGTGGCTCCGCCTTCCTTCGGGAGTTTCTTCCTGGCCTTTGGCTTCTTCTCTGCCGGAGCCTTCTCGGCTGCTGGGGCTTTCTCGGCCGCGAGCTTCTTCTCAGCCGGCTTCTTCTCCGCCTTTGGTGCCATCGCTGCTTTTGAAGCTGAAATTAGAGAGACTTTGACGGGAAGGATAAAAAACGGGCTTCGATTTAAAGACTGGAGAGGGGAGATGTCTGAGAAAGAATTCAACACTTAGAAAAGTTATTATTTTGCATCTACGTAGTACAAGAGACTTGGACAATTTTGCGCCTCTTTTTTTGCCTTGAATTTTAAAATTGCGCCACTTTGTTTTTGTCTTGAATTTTAACTGGATTTGGACATCATAATTCCCCCCTTTTTACACAAGAAAAATTGGTGCAATTTTGTCTTTTATAATTGTATTTGAAATATAGATTTCATTTTTATTCATTATTTTTGTGTCACAATTTTAAAAATTTTAGTATGATTAAAAATTTTAGTATGAGTGGCAAAATTTTTTAAATTCATATAAATGGAAAAGCATCTTCATAAAATTTAACTAGTTCTTATAAGTGCTAAAACTTTATATCAATTATAACTACTATTTATAAAACTTCACTATTAATCCATTATCTTCAAATAAGAAAAAAATGCACAATTCAACTAATACATAAAGTGTATTAGTTAATTAACTATGGAGTTTATGATTTATCCACTTCGATAACCGATTCAATTTGAAAACTCTTATTTAAATTCATATCAAATTAACTAATAATCATTCTAAGTTAAGTAATCACAAGTTTATTTACACTAATGAATTTTTTATTTTTTAATTATTTTTTATTCTAATGAAGTTATTACATATACAAGAAAATTAAACTAATAAGGAGGCTCGTAAGTATACAACAACTAAAAATCATTAGAGAACACATAATGATTACAAAAAATTAAGAGTAATAGTTGCAAAAAACAATAAGTATTAAAAATCAAACAGTGATAAAAATAGTTGTCACTAACAGCTATATAATGTTATTAGTGACAACAATAGCAAAGTTGTCAAAGAAAGGTGCTATTATTACTGACGACTTTTAGAAAGTTGTCACTATTGCAGTTCCCGCTCTCTTCATGACTCCTGGCGGGAATCGAATTGTGACAACAATGCAAGGTCGTCACTGATGTATTGGCTTCCTTGACTCGATTGTGACAACTTGCCGTATTGTGGTTAAAGGACCCCATTTTGTGACGATTTTTTTTCATCACTGAGAAATATTGTCACTAATGACCAAATTTCTTGTAGTGGCTGTTTCTTCAGGCAATTGCTAAATTGATGATTGCTACTCCCACAAATCAAACATTTTCCCCCTTTCTGCCAGCAATCATTCTCAGTGTGATTTGTCTTTCCACAGTATCCACAGGCCAATCGAGGAGCTACTGTTTGACCTTCTCGAGAAATGTCCTTTGATCCGATCTGACTTCCTTTCGTAGACCTTTTATCTAATGCTCTTAATGTCCAAGGTGGGCAAGGTGAATGGTTCGCTTTTTGCACTTTGGAGAGCATTATCTTTTCTCCGGATTCCTCAGGTATGCTGCTGGATGTATCTCTTTTCCGCGTTTGAAAGGCTTTTACTTGGGCTTTCGCATCCTCAATTTCTGTAAGAGGGAGAGAGTGTGACGACTAGAAAAATTTCCTTATATATTTTTTTAAAATTCCCTTTTATTTAGAAATTATTTGAAAATTACTTGGAACTTATTACTTCATAATGGCCTACTACCCAATCACCCTACAATAAGTGTAAATGAATATAGAAGTTAGGGTTTTCGTTGTCCATTTTCAAGTTAGAGCGAATTAGGATTTTCACGTTTTCCGTAGTTTGACTATTCGGTACGGAGTGAGGATCAAATTTGGTAGGTAAGAGTGAATTTTGGATGAGAAAATATTATATGATTTGAAATGATAATAATAAGTTAGTGATTAGAAGGTAAAAGCCCTAGTATACGCGATTTAAGAAAAATCGTCTCAAACCGACGGGTATCGATCACTACCGATTGAACACACCACTTGACCACCACTTCCCCACCACCACATACCCTTGATATTTGTGCAAAATATCCCCCCTCATCCTCAACCATATGGCCAAAAATTGTGGCCCAAAATGCAAGGAAAAGAAAGCAAAATTTGGATGGCTTTGGTAGTGACAAGTGTTGGCCATCTATAGTCCTTGACCAACCTTTTTGTCTTGCCTTCTTATCTCTCATTTCAGCTCATTTTCCCTCATTTGTTTTCTGGTTTGACCGAGAGCAAGGAGAGGGAAGAGAGTGAGGAGAGTTCTTCAAATTTTAACCTTGAATCCAATCTTTTGAGTGCAACCAAGAAAAACTAAACCGATTAATCACTAGTTTGGAAGATTGGGAAGCTTAAGGAGCCAAAGATTTCAAGGAGAGGTGAAGGATCATCCTAGCAAGCTCTTGTCTTGAGGTATAATGGCTGATCAACCATTCTTTCTCCATTAATCATGATTAAGTTGGGTATTAATATTAGTATTGTGCTTGTGATGCTTGTTTCAAAGGGTTTTGATGATTGGATGGATGACTTTTGAGTTAGGGTTTCTTGTGGGTTAGGTGTTGTATGATGCATATATGTGGTATATGATCTTCCAAAGGTGATAGTAGTGGTAGTTTCAAGGAACAAATGTGAATTATAGCTTGAATATAACAAAATTTCAGATTTCTGGAAATTGTAGCTTCAATTCTGTCCGGTTTCATTTCTCTATGCTAGAGGCCGAATTAGGCTTAGCACAAAACATGAAATTGTAGAGAATGACATTTTATGGTTCCCTACAAAATTTCAGCTCAATCGGAGCAACGTAGCCTGTAAAAAGATGAAAATACCCTGACTGCCTTAGGAGTGAAGTCAGTGGACAGTTTTGACAGTACACTAAGTTGGTTGCATTTGTTCACCTTGATGTGTACAGAACTAGCTTTTAGTCAAAACATGAAAGTTGTAGTGCTATGCCTTAGGTTTCCAACTCCCCTGGAATCACCTCGTTTTGACTTCGGTAGCCTGAGTTATTGTCATTTATGCATAAGGCGGTTAACAAGCCCAAATGTGAGATTCTGGTTCTGTAAATGGAAAGTTTGACTTAGATACACTACAAACTGGACTGAGTGGTCTTCAACAAAGTTGTAGCTCTCTGCCTTAGTTTCAAAACGGTATAAATTTCACCCCGATCCGATAAGTGTAGCCTCGGTTGTGTCCGTTACGCAAAACAACGTCAAATCTGTCTTTTGTTTCTTGACACAAACTCCATTTCCGCACATGTTCCTAGCTTGATTTTGTACTTGTATGACTTTGAACCTATGAAATGGCTATTAAAAAGGATATTTTAAAGTTTTACAAGTGAGCATAAGTTTTACAAGTAGTTTACTTATGTCCTTTGGTTTTAATAGACTCTTTTCACTACCAAAATCATATTTATATTTTGTACTAGTACCTATTCGGATTTTCATGGAATCACTTAAATCTTTGATAGTTGAAGCATAATGTGTTCTTCTGATTATATTAGGGTTCATCGGTGACTGACGGTATTATCCGGCAAGATATTTTGGATATTATTTTGCGTAAATAGGTGAGTGTTTTCCTTGTTTGCTATATTTTCCTTGACTTCATGGCTTGTGTTATTGTTTGATAATGTGTTAAGTGCTTTCAAGGATTTCCAAAACGAGTTTTCTAGGCGAGCGTGTACTTTATCGCGCTCGACCTAAATGAAACGTGAAATTTTCAATGATTTAATGATTGATACATTATTTGTGCATGATGTAAGCCTTTTGGCTGAATTGAGCCCTACCCTTCGTTACCGATCGACTCGAGCTAGAAGAAGACTCGGTCGGGCGATATGGTGACCCTGGGTGTGAACATTGGCATACTCGAGTATTACCTTGTTGTTGGGTGGAGTCCGACCAACGTCCGGATGGGGGTGAAATGAAATGAATGAACGAGTGGCAATGAATGAAATGAAGGGTTTTACTTCTCAAAATGCATTTTCAAATAATTGGAGGAATAAGAGGAATGACAGGAGAACGAACGAACGAACGAACGAATAGCTCCATGTGAGCCCGTATCCTTTTAATGAATGTGTTATTATCTCTTTCCATTGTAAATGTTTCTTGAACTATTGATACTCTATGTTTAATGTATTGGATTGATTGTTTGATTATGTGTTCGGAACCTCACTGAGCTTTTAGTTCATCCCTTTAGTTTTGTTTTCCTTAATAGGGGAAGGCGAGCAAGGACGAGAGCTCGGTAGAGACTAGCCTAGACTAGTTTCTTTGATTTTGTAATGGTTCTCGCCCTAGTGCTCGGCACGGGCTGGATGTATGGTGAATTGAGAACCTTTGTATATTCGATGTTTGTACTCCCTTTTGAGTTAGCAATGTATATAAGTTTTGCTTTAAGTTTTGGATCATTGTTATGTTTATTCTTGGTTTATTGTGGTTCCGGTTGAGGATTGAAGTGAATGACTGAGTCCCGGTGAGAGTTGGGCAGGCGGTCCGCTGACCCCTTTGGTTTGCCTTAGGGGGAGGTGGGGCTGTCACAGTCTCCACTAGACACACCTTTCTTTCTTGCATGAAAAGCCTTCACCTGTGTCCTTGCAATTTCTATCCACTGGGCTTTCTTAAAAACCTCCGTAAAAGTATTAATTTGTGCCGCCGCCAAAGCCTCTTGTATTTCTACATTTAACCCCTGTACAAACCTCCTCACACTCCTCTGCTCTGCAACTATCAATTCAGGAGCAAACTTAGATAACTTGGTGAACTGAGTCTCATATTCAGATAGACTTAAGCCTCCCGGAAGTAGCCTAATGAAATCATCCTCCCTTTTCTCCTGGACTATTAGTGGAAGATATTTCTCGTTAAACTCTCGCACAAAGTTCAACCAAGTCCATGTTATCCACTTTCTTTCCCACTTAGCCCTAATCACATTCCACCAGGCTCTGGTTGGTCCTTCAAATTGAAATATAGAAAAATTCACCTGCCTATCCTCCATATAATTCAAGGCGGCGAAAATATTTATCATTATTTCCAGCCATCTCACCACTAACTCCGAGTCTGGCCCTCCAAGAAACTTGGGAGGTGAAAACTTTTGAAACCGCTTTAGGGTCCTATCTTCCCCTATTTCAGGGTCCCTAGGTTGATTGACAGGGGTTTGACCCTGCTGCTCTACCAATCGAGCTAAAATATTAGTCATTTATTAGATGGCCGTTGCTACTTGATTCCCTCCTTCAACCTAGGTTCAAGTCGTTGCTCGGCCATCACATCTCTCTCTTCCCTCAGTTCTTGTACTTGTCTAGCTCCACGTCCATGGTTAGAACCGCGTTCTCGACTAGTCCCACATCCCTGACTTCGCCTACCTTCCATACCTCTATTGAAAAATAGACTATATAGGTATAAGCAAAAGAAAGTAGCTATAAAGCTCAATAAAAACATTTCCAAATCATAAAGTGAACAATGAAGCACATTTAGAATAAAACACTCCCTTTATATATATATATATCATAACAAGTCACACACCAAGTTAGGAAGTACTATACATGCCATCCTAATAAAATCCAGAACTTATAACAACCAAAGGACATAGAACAAAAGCAGGCGCTATGTACATCAGTCTTAACACATCAATATCAAAAACAAAAGATGACGTGTCATCCCAACTATTCCTTACTATTTCTTCATGGTGGCCAAGAGCTAGGAGAGGAGAAAGAGAGAAGAAAGTTAGCCAAAATGAAAGATAAGAAGGAAGGAAATATCTTGGTCAAACTCTTCTTTGATTGCCAACACTTGGCAAGTCAAGATTCTTCCTCTTTTTTTTTTTCTTTTCTCACCTTTTCTTTAGTCAAAGATTTTGGCTGGTTTAGGGTTTAATCTAGGGCTGATTAGATGAAATAAAACCAAGAAGATTAGGGTAAGAAAGTATTGGTCAAGCGGTACACTCAACCGGTAACAAACGGCGCATGTCGGTTGTGACAGCCCCACCTCCCCCTAGGGCATACCCCAGGGTTTAGCGGACTGCCTGCCCAGCTCTCACCAGGACTCACTCACTCGTATCTCAAGAAAAAAACTAAGAACGTACATCTATCGAAAATGAATAACACATCCACTTAATATATACATTGATACTCAAATCTAGATACAAAGCTTCTACACACCAAAATACTCCAAAGTGTTTACAAATCGAGTACAATCAACTCTAGTCGGGTACTAGCGTGAGTACATATTCAATATTCAAAACAACTAGGCTATGCTAGTCTGTACATGTCTCATGCCTCGCTCGTACCCCCTGTAAGGAAAACAAATGGCGTGGAATGAGCTAAAAGCCCTGTGAGGTTCCAAATAACAAATTGACCATTTTGAAAGTACGAATATCAACGTAGCAAGTTAATGGCATCAAAAGTTCATAAGAGTGAACAATAATACTTCAAGTAGCAAATCTCAAAGTGAGTGAGTGTAAAAGTTTTTCAGAAGAAACAATAATCTAATAAACAATAATCATTCCAAAATATAAGGATACGGATGGCTCTCAGGAGCCAAATTCCCATCGCATCACCAGAGCTTGATCAAGTAATAGTTGACACTCCGTCAACCTTCAAGTAAGTAACCAATCCAGTAGAGCACCACTTACACTACTCTCCGTCCACCATTGACACCCCCTACTGGGCCCAAAATCCTCAATAAACACGGGTGGTAATACTCGAGTATACCGATTAGTCGAGGAGATATCACTCCACTCGACATAACTAACGACCCATGGTTCGTTATCTAATCAACCAAGCCCTTGCCGGCTCGACTCGATTAACTAGCCAATGGGGTTTGGGTCCCCAAGAAGTCGATGAGATAACCTCTCCAATCGACGGAATTAAGATAAAAGTATGGAGACGGGAATGAGAGGCACCTCCCACTCGGATTGAGTGTGGTACATACTGCCGCTCCACACTTACAAATCAAATACAGGTATATTAAGTTAATTGCAACAATAAACAAGTATAGATCATGTGAGGGCAAGTGCGATAAAGTACACTCTTGCCCGATCAACAAATCTCATATCAATTATGTACAAATATTGTGAACAAGTGTCCAGGTCAACCAGGTATTTGGAAGCACTCACCCAAAATGCGGTGCCTTTACGAGTTACGTTCGGGTATTACTCCGTGTGCGGAGTCCAAATCTGCGATAAAATATTGTTTAAGAACTTTTAAAAGTAACTAAGGTTCGAAACTTAAACGTTTTGTTCAATAAGAATCAAGAAATTGAAATTCACTTGGAGAATATTCGTGAAACACTCGCTCGCTTTTCAAACTATATAACTTTGTAACATGATACTTGGAAATGTCATTTGAGTCAAAAGTACAAGAAAAACGTATTTCGAGCAGTCATTATTTTATTTCTCAAGGGTACAAGTTCGGCCAAGTCCTTACTGATATACCTTGATAAAAGAAGATGTAATATCCTAGATGGTTCAAGCAGTAATCACTCTTAACCCTTACTCAAGTTGCAAGTATGTCTACCTAGCCCTTGAACGTAAATTTGGGCAGCACGCCCTTTGTATTTTCCTATTTTCCAGCCATTTATGGCTTCATTCTTTTCCTCAATCAAACCCAAAGTTACACACTAAACAATCTCATTCCAATAGCCATTCAATAGGCTCAAAGTAATACAAGTACAAAATCAAACTAACGACATGTGCAGAAATGAGGTTTAGCAAAAGATAGATTTGACATGTTTTTGCGTAACGGACACAATCGAAGCTATACTTATCAATTTGGGATGAAATATATACCGTTTCGAAGCTAAGATAAAGGGTTACAATTTTGATGAAGATCACTTAGTCCAAATTCCAGTGTAACCCAGTCAAATTCCCAATTCACAGAACCAATTTCCAACTAATAGACCAGTTAACTGCACTACTTTCAAATGGCCATATCTCAAGCTACCAAAGTCCGTTTAAGACGTTCTTGGAGGTGTTGAAAAGCTAAGATAAAGTACTAAAACTTTCATGTTTTGGATAAAAGCTAGTTCAGTACGTATCAAGGTGAACAAACTCAACTAACTTAGTGTACTGTCAAAACTGTCCACTGACTTTACTCCTATGGCAGTCAGGGTATTTTCATCTTTTCACAGGCTACGTTGCTCCGATTGAGCTGACATTTTGTAGGCAACCATAAAATATCATTCTATACAACTTTCATGTTTTGTCCCAAGTCTGATTCGGCCTCTAACATGATCAAATAGAGTCGGGCAGAACTGAAGCTAAATTTTCCAGAAATCTGGAATTTTTGTTATTTCAAGCTATAATTCACATTTTCACCTTGAAACTACCACTACTATCACCTTCACAAGATCATATACCATATATATACATCATACCACACCTAACCCACAAGAAACCCTAACTCAAAAGTCATCCATCTAATCATCAAAATCACTTGAAACAAGCATCACAAACACAATACCAACATTAATACCCAACTTAATCATGATTAATGGAGAAAGAATGGTTGATCAGCCATTATACCTCAAGACACAAGCTTGCAAGGATGATCCTTCACCTCTCCTTGAAATTCTTGGTTCCTTAAGCTTCCCAAGCTTCCAACTAGTGATTAATCGGTTTAGTTTTTCTTGGTTGCACTCAAATGGTTGGATTCAAGGTAGAAGATTGAAAACTCTCCTCACTCTCTTCCCTCTCCTTGCTCTCGGCCAAACCAAAAAAAATGAGGGAAAATGAAGCAAGATGAGAGATAAGAAGGCAAGACAAATGGTTGATCAAGACACCATAGGTGGTTGACACTTGTCACCACCAAGACCAACTAAATTTTCTCTTTCTTTTCCTTGCATTTTGGCCACAATTTTAGGCCATGTGGCTGAGGATGAGGGGGGATATTTTGCACAAATATCAAGGGTATGTGGTGGTAAGGAAGTGGTGGTCAAGTGATGGGTTCAATCGGTAGTGATCGATACCCGTCAGTTTGAGCCGATTTTTCTTAAATCGCGTATACTAGGGTTTTTAACTTCTAATCACTAACTTATTATTATCACTTCTAATCATATAATATTTCCTCATCCAAAAGTCACTCTTACCTACCAATTTTGATCCTCACTCCGTACCGAATAATCATACTACGAAAAAACGTGAAAACCCTAATTCGTGCTAACTTAAAATCGAAACGTGATACCCTACTTTCTAGGTTCATTTGCACTTATTGTGGGGTGATTGAGTAGTAAGGCTATTATAATTTAATAATTTTCAAATAAAAGGGTATTTTTAAGAAAAATGTGAGGGTTTTACAATTCTATAAATTGAATTTAGGGTTTCAGTTGAAATATGAGAAATTTGAGAAAACGGTCAGTCACAAGTGAAACTAGGGTTTTGATTAGACTTTTAGGGTTTCTACTCTTTTAAAACAAAACAAGGTTTTAAATCAAACCCAAAGAAATAACTTTAGTTTCTTCTTTAAAACAAAATAATGTTTTTTTAAATAAAAATAAACTAAAGAAACTGTAATATCCTCTTTGAGACTAAACAAAAGATGATCCTAAAAGTTGGGGTATCACATCGGTTCAAACCTATTTTCCTTAACTCTCTTGTACTTTTATTTTAACTTATGATTCACTAACTTATCATTAGCACTTCTAATAACATATTTCCTCTTACCTAATACTCACTCTTATCCACCAAATTTAGCACACACACCTCACCAACTAATCACACTACCAAAATATGCAAAAATCCTAGTTTACCCTAACTATAAAAGTAAAAGTAAAACTCTCAGTTCTATTATTTATTATAACTATTGAGGGAGTAAATTAATAGTAAAGGAATTATAAATTAACTTATTCAAAATAAAAGGGGATTATAAGAAAATATAAGTAAATTTTCAAGTCCTCACAAATTAAGTGGTAAAAACTTCATATTTGTGTATGATTCAATAATCAATTGGAGCTGTGAGAACCCGTAAAACCCTAATATTTTCCTAGGGTTTATTTCCCCTTAATTGCATGTTTTCTGCATTTTCTGGCTTAGAAATATTTTCTTAGTGGATTTTATGAGCAATTATAGTTTTAAGATGATTTTTCTAGCATTGGAGAATTTTTAGAAAATTAAGAGTAAATAGTGGACGTGGGACCCACTAGTGCGAAAAGTTCGGAAAATTCGGCCAATAAGGTTAAGTTTCGGATACTGTGTAAAATTTATCG